TAACCCAGATTTAGGTGAATACTTTTAAGAATACAGTTTAGATACTAGCATCCAAGTATTCAGGTACATCACTTATGAAAAGTTGTACAGAGATTTGGTTGTGGAAAGCAAAATATATCAATGAGTGAAGATTGTCCCTTAGTAACTGAGAATTAGGGTAGGTTGTCCATTTAGAAAATACAATCTATCAGGGAAGTATTTCAGTTACTTTCCCCACTGCAATTCTCATCGGCAGTCCAGCTCATCCCTTCTGGTATTGCCAATATCTGGTGATGTGTTCTATGTAGATGTCTTTTGACCATCTGATGGTGTCCGACACCATGAGTTGCCGCATCAGCCGAGCGTTGACCGATTTCTACATGCAAGTCTATACAAATTCTTCAGCTGTTGAATGCAAACTTCTACAGGACCTTACAAAGAGCAGATGACAAAGGGAAGATGAGGATGGGAGTGATACGGACAATCGACAGTGATATACTAGCTTTTCAAACTTTAGAACTGCCTGGGCCTGACAACTTCTGCTAGCCCTAAGAAAACATTCTTGATCTTAAATATCACATTAGAATATCGGAGGGACCTTCTGCAAACCAGCTGCATGACTAAAGGGATGAAGGATACGCAAAAGGAAAGAAGACTGGAAACTGGTGTCACTGAAGGGCAGAGCTAAAGTTCTTTCTGCTGACAGAAGCATAGCTCTCGAGCAACAACGCAGGCTAACTCCTGTGTTAACTCTATGGAAGGCTGGTGCAACTCAGTTGTGTACCCAGATGGGAACTGTTCTAGTTTCAGAAGGGAGTTCATAGAAATCATAGAAGATTCAACCCCCTGCTCAAAGCAGGACCAACACCAACTAAATCGTGCCAGCCAGGGCTTTGTCAAGCTGGGCCTTATAAACCTCTAAGGATGGAAATTCCACCACCTCCCTAGGTAACCCATTCCAGTTATTCTGTCTGAACCAGTCCACTGCCATGCAGCTCACACAGAGTGCAACGTCAACCTCTGGCTCTCACAGTGTTGGCACCTCTGACCCATGCCCACCCAGCCAAGGCTCTGTCAGATCCCCTGTCTGACACCCACACTGTGTATCTTTGTGTCACGCTGACTCCAGCACAGCATCAGGGCACTGCTTGGCCATTATTTAGGGATCTCTGACTCCATTCAATGCAGAACTGGTGTTTGGCTGGGCTGGGTCGGGCTGCTCTGGAGCTTGTTTTGCCTGGAACAATCATGACTCCCAGTGGACAGACAGCTCCATTGCAGGCAGAAGTATTCCTGCAAGACACTGATCTCCAGAAAAATAGAGCCAACAGCCTCAATCAGATTCAAAGATATTCAGAACAGAGAAAGACACCCTTGCTAAAGTGTGTTAAGTGCTCAGCCTTATGGAGAAGAGTCCGGTGGCTCTCTCAAGCTCAGTGCCTGCCCTTTGGGACTAGTGTCAGTTTATTTTAAAATCTGTCTTTAGAATAAGCAAACATTTGCACTGTGCACATTACAGAAGGAACCACAATGACTACACAGCTCTGTGCTAATCTGAGTGGCTTTCAGCTGCACAATAGCCACACACCTATACTCATCATGACACAAGTGATAACAGACAGGGCCAAGCAAGTTAAGATGAGCTCTCTCTCTCTCTGTAGGGTGATTCAAACCAGCGCAAACTTGTCTGCACAGTCATCTCTGGTTTGTTTTTAAGTTGCATTGCTGGCTTCCCACCAAGCTTCAGTTTTGGGTGATGTCTGCTAGACAATGAGATCATCATCATGGAGCTGACCTGCAGAACCTACTCCCTTCTTTCTTTCTCAACAGGGATCAACTACCCTCTATGTTCAACTCACTGATGTAGATGGGGGAGGAAACTCAAAAGTGGGAGCAAGTTGCAGTTTAATTCTAGGCTTGGAAGTGTGTTCTTCCAGTAGAGCTAGTTCTCTGAAATGTTGCTGTAGTAAAGTATTTAAGTTTTCACTCTTGCTAAGTCCATGCCACTGCAGTTTCTGCTTTGTCCAAAGTATTTTCCCACCCCTGCTCCTCACCGTTCCATTGTGTCTTACTGACTTGGTAAACCCCTTTGATGTAAAATGCCCCCCTCTGCCTCGTCTTCCCATTTTATCTCCCCTTCGGGGATTGTGCCGGCCATATGGACAAGCATTCCCCCCACTCAATTTTCAGTTGTGCCTCAGCTAGGTCAAACTCTGCTCATTTCCGAGTGGCCCATCTAGTTCTTCCTGCTTATTGCACGAGCTCATGGAACTGGGCATCTGTCGAGCAGCCCTGGGTCTCCTGTGAGCAAAGTGTGCCAGTCCCTTCTCCCCTGGGCTTTTACAGGAAGGGGGATAGGACTCTGATTCTGTCCCAGGAGCTGCTGCTTTTCGGGACCCCACCTCATAACATTTTCTGGAGCAGATTCCTGTCTCATCTCAGCACCATGATGTCATCCTGCCTGCACAGAGCCCAGCACTGTGATGTCAGGGTGGGGTCAGCATAGTGCCGGAGTGAGAGCAGGGCAGCTTGATGCTCAGTATCTCGGCCATTGGGACACAACAGGGAAAGGGAGGGAAAGACAAAATGCAAATATAAAGAAGTGGCAAGAACAGAGAGAGAGGAGCTCAGACAAGTCCCTGCGAGGAGGTAAGGGGCCTTCTGATGTGACAAGTGACCAGGGTGTTCAGTGAGATGTTCGTGTGAGCAGGTGGGGGAACAAGCTCATAAATCCCCAGATCAATCTGGCTGGTTCAAAGGGAAACGTTTCCAGAGTTCTGCTGTTTTTGGCAGAAGGGGAGTTGGACAGTTACACTCATTATCTCACAGATATCGGCATTGTGCCTTTATTTGCAAGGTCCAGCCCCCTGTTTTATGTGGCCAAACTTAAACTATGTTTTACCCAGGTTATCCACCAGGGTTAGAATGTGGGGGCTAACATAGAGCATGTTTTTTAGGCCCAATCTTGCAAACGTCTGCAGGGGAGTACAGCTGAAATTTTTTGACGAAAAAGCTTTTTAATTGGACATTTTTATTTTTCCTTTTTAAAAATTAAAATTTCTGTGAAGTATGTTGACTTTTTCCAATTTTTTCCCAGTAATATTTTTGTCAAAATTTCAAAGGGAATTTTTGATCCTAAACATTATCAATAATACCACCCATTTTCCAATCACACACAAGAGTAACTGACATTTTTTACTCAAAAAGAAGCAGGATTTTGACAAACAAAAAATTCCCATAATGGTCCAAAAATATTCTTGATAAAAGTATTTAATACAATTTTGAAAAATGAGGTGCGTGTCCCTTTGGAGCCCAACAAAATGGAAACAATTTAAAAAAAAAATCTCTGACTTTCTTTTTAAATTTTCCCAACAGCTCTACATGTAAGTAACGTACTTGGTCAGGTAGTTTCAGTGAAATCAATGGAACTACCTTGCCTAAGTAAAGCTATTCACATGCCATTTCAGCCAACTCTACTCCCATGCATAAATGTTTTCAGGATCAGGCACAATAAAAGTAATCCTGTAATAATACAACTTTTGTTTGTGCCTCAAATGTTATTTTTAGTGTATCTTTTCCTTGCTTATGTGGGCTAGCTAAGTAGCCATGTTCTAATCCTGGTAGATTCCTATTAGTATTCTAACACATGTTTTATGTCTGTGTGGCCATTGGGTAGATAAGAAGGAGCACTGGAAAGGAAGAATTGTCCAGGGAGTTAAGATGCTAGCCTGAGACTGCGTTATCTGCTATGTGAATGTTTAAATGACTGATTCTGGTTACTTATTGTCCCCTCAAAGCTGATTGAAAATTAGAATTCCTGTCCAACATGCAATTCTGGTATTTCAACATTTGACTATGTCCTAAACTGAGATGTAATGTCAAAATAGCTACATTTTTCACAAGACAGATGAGTGAAACACATCAGCATCTTTGGTCATGTCTACACTACAGACTTTACAGTGGCACAGCTGTACCGATGCAGCTGCGCTGCTGTAAGATCTCCTGTGTAGTCGCCCTGTGCTGATGGGAGAGAGCTCTCCCGTCAGCACAATTAAACCACTCCCAATGAGCAGCGGTAGCTGTCAGAGGGAGACATGGTGCTTTCCACACTATCATTTCTGTTGGTGAAACATATGTCGCTTCGGGGTGTTTTTTCACATACCTGAACGACATAAGTTATACCAACATACGTGCTAGTGTCGGAAGAAGAAACCCTGGACAGACTAGTATGCAGGAGCCCGCCCCCAGCTCTGGAGTCCCAGCAACAAGGTGCTGCACAGCTGTGTCCGCTCCTGGTGGGAACCTGCCCAGTCACACAGCAATAAATGTTTAGAGCGTGGTGGGGCCCAGAGACCTTGGGCGGGTGCCCACTCTGGTGATTTTAGTGCCAGTCTCCTGCCATTTTATGCCCTACATCGGGGTCGGCAACCTTTCAGAAGTGGTGTGATGAGTCTTCATTTATTCACTCTTAATTTAAGGTTTTGCATGCCAGTAATACATTTTAACGTTTTTAGAAGGTCTCTTTCTATAAGTCTATAATATATAACTAAACTATTGTTGTATGTAAAGTAAATAAGTTTTTTTAAATGTTTAAGAAGCTTCATTTAAAATTAAATTAAATTGCAGAGCCCCCTGGACCGGTGGCCAGGATCCGGGCAGTGTGAGTGCCATAGGTTGCTTACCCCGCCCTACACAAAGTCCCAGCTGCTGGGGTAACCTGAGCTCAGACTCTGGGTCAGCCCTCTGCACATGTCTAGCCTCCAGGGCGGCAGCAGAGGCCAGCCTGGCAACGAGCGCTGGGCTGGACCCGCTAGAGCCCTGCTGCGGGATTTCCAAGTTGCTTGGCTCTGCCAGTCCCAGCCAGGCGGCTCTAGCGCGCAGCAGCCTGGCCCCGCGCTGGGAGCCTAGCACGCGGCCACGTGCTCCCGGAGAGGGCATTACTGAGGATACAGGCGAGAGCGACGGCTTCCGCGCGGCTTCACTTGTCCATTGCGCACGCACGCCCAACTTGCGCATGCGCCCTGGGAAGCGGGCCGTGTGCACCTGCGTAGTAGCGTGGAGGCGCCGTTTGAGCGGAGGCGCGCGGCGAGTGTCGGAGTTTGAAGCGGGATGTGGCGGGGCCGGGCTGGGACGCTGCCAGCGGCCATCGGGGCGCTGTGCCGGGCGCTGCCGCCGGTGAGCCGGCCCGCCCCGGAGACCTTCCGCCTCGCCAAGTTCGACCGGCCCGAGGCGGTGAGAGCGGGGGAAGCCGGGACCGATCCTCCCTGGACCCATAGTAACAGCACTGTCCCCTCTGCCCCATAGCATCACCGCTAGCCCATAGCAACGCCCCCGCTGCCCCAAAGCAACATCACTGGCCCCTCCCTGCCACATAGCAACGCCCTCCTGCCCCCACTGCCCCATAGCAACACCACTGTCCCCTGACAGTGCCCCCTCACTGCACCCCATCGCCTCTCGGTGGCCCCTGCCCCATAGCAATACCCCTCTTCCCTTACTGACCCATAGAATCCCTCTACTTCCTGGGTTTGCCCCCGCTACCCCACAGCATCCACCCTGCCCCATAACATTAATGCCTCTTTTTCCTTTTACCCTTGTAATGTCATCTCTTCTCCCATACCATCACTCCCTTGGTGGGACCCTAGGCAACTTTCCTATGCTCTCTGGGAATGGCTGAGCCATTACAGACATTGACTATCTCCCCTTGTAAGTACTCTCACACTTACTATCAAACTGTCTGTACTCGGCTAGCTTGATTATCACTTCAAAAGTTTTTTTTTTTCTTAATTAATTGGCCTCTCAGAGTTGGTAAGACAACTCCCACCTGTTTATGCTCTCTGTATGTGTGTATATATATCTCCTCAATATATGTTCCATTCTATGTTGTGCCGCTCATCTAGTATGTCACTTTCGCTGTGATGTCCGCTGTTATGAATCTTTGGCCAAGG